CTTGAGCCGTGTTGCCGTGAGGGCCGGCAGAGGTTTCAGCATTAACAATTAGCCTTTTGTCCGAGCAAGAAGAAGCCGGCAACCTGAAGTGAACCACGACAACCGAAGATGACTTGAGGTGCGGTGCCGTTGTCTTCAAACCGTTGACGTCTGAAGAGTTGCTGGGTCTGTGAATTCTGTAAAACTAGCCTATGTGCTCGCGCCATGCCACAGTCGTGGGATTCGAGATGCGTCCTCACTGCACACACACCGTCCGTCCAAGTTAATAACAGCATGCCATCTTGTTGAAAACTTCAAAGTCGATAGCCGTTGGCAGTGGTCTTGCAATTTGGGTACGTACTTCATAAGTTCGTAGCGCAGCGTTTGTGCACTGCACCAGCGGGCGGTGCCGAACAGCCGGGCCTCGATCATAATAGTAATAATTGTGTGGATGCCGGTTTGCCGTTTGATCCATCGCCAGCCAGGTCGGCGCGTGGCCGACCGACAACTGTCACATTGGCTTGTCGCAACACTTGATGACTTTTTGTCGAGCCCGCCATGATTGGTGGAAGCAGCTTTTGTCCTTCAAGTCCATGTCTCGCCGTGTGCCGTCATGGCTCCTGTTTGTATGTAGGAGAATCATACTGATCTGCGTGTCTCACATCGCGGACAGATTGCAATCCTGGCTGGAGAGAGTGCGGCTGCAGCTGTTGACCTGCTTCCATTGACGTCCGCGGATATTGATGAGAGCGTCGGGATGAAAGTCGGTGACTGAAGCCGACAATTCCGTGTTCACTGCATACGGAATGCCCAAACACAGAGCACTATAGTCTCTCCGTGCATTGCGATTCATGTTCTAGAAAGATAAATCCGGGGTCGAGGGTTGCCCAAGGCCGTGCTGTCGGGCTGCAGTTGCGAGATAGCACTGTGCAGGACCACAGTTGCAGAGGCGAAGCAGATTACGAGTTCATGAGCGCGGATATTCGCCTGTTGCGACACAAACGACATTCACCACGCTACGTACGTGCTCGGTTCACCACATAGCCCGAAACGTGACAAGACGACAGCAAAGGGCATCTGGCAGCATATGTGTCTTCTCTTCTCCTTCATAACACTTGGAAGGACGTATGTGCAGAGAGGGTCGAGGCGTGGACGCTGCATCTGCACAGTGCGCAGACCGACCATTCCGTGATCCGTCTTGGCATCGCCGACTGCTGCGGGTGCCTGAGGGGACATCGATGCGCAACCCACTGAATGTCATTTGTTGTAGGCTTCGACAGCGCTGCCGTGGGCGGCTTGGCACCGACTTAGCGGTCGCGCTTCCTACTGTAGGCTACCTAACCTGCTACCGCCCCCTCTTCTCAGCAGTCGTGCAGTCTTTCCATTGCATTCATCAGGTTGATCCCCCCAGTCTGCCTGCCGTCCCGTTCATTGATCGACTTGGCACCTCATCTCCATTCTCACTTCTCTCCCTCCAAACCAGTCCCCAGCCTGCGATCCTCGAGGGTCTGCGTCTTATTTCGTTGCGACACGGCATCGCCATCATCATTCATTCAAGTCGACCCGGCCGGCAGACACTCACCCGGTCGCTCGAGGCGGCCCCTCCGCTATCCAACGCCGCCAAGTGCGCAATCCATCCTGCGACTGCCTTTCACGAAAGCAGCGAGCAAAGTCAATCGCCCAGCCAGCCGCGCAATCACCTTGGCGAACATAGCCGAATCCACTGCCACAGCCACGTCCTGGCAATCGCGCCCGCTCGGAGAGCACCCTTCTCGTGATTCAGGCCTTGCGCCTTGCAAAAATCAACTGCCATGGCCGATGAGGAGAAGAAAGGAAGGTCAGCCGAGACGGTCGAGGCCGCGGCCATACATTCGCATACCACGGATTCGTCGTCCACTGGGACCTCTGAGCCGCCGCGCTTTATCGAGTCACATCTGGTAGGATAATCCCATGCACCGCCAGCTCGGAGGGAAGGCGTGAGAAACTGACGGTAGTCCCAGCAGCCCCAATATGTGGTCGAGGATGACGACCAAGAGTTGCCACAGCGCGCTGGCCAAGATCTACATGTCACCGAAGACGACCTCCTCGAGGCGCAAGAGTTGGCCGACAGACTGACACTCGCAGAGGTGCGCGACATCATAATGCGCGTACATCGAGTCCACGAATTCGATCCCAACTTCCCGATTGTCGTTCTCCACAAGATCAAGGCTTTTCTTGACAATGAGCATCTTTTCGTACCGCAAGACGATATCGACGACGAAAAAAATAAATATGCCGCACACGAGGATCTGATTGCCGAGATGAAGCTGGAGGCAGCTCTGATCACTACCAACAGTCCGTATGCCGAAGTCCGTGCCGTCGTCGACAACCACGACGATATCAAAGCGCCCTCGTCAACGATCCGTAGCTGGGCAATCGGCTTGATGTTCTCATTGGCCCTCGCCTTCGTCAACCAGCTGTTCGACATCCGTCAACCAACAATCAGAGTGATGGCCAATGTTGCCCAACTCTTGGCTTACCCATTGGGTAAGGCATGCGAGAATTGGCTACCCGACAAGGGATTCACTCTATTCGGCGTCAGGCACACTCTCAACCCTGGACCGTTCCACCGCAAGGAGCACATGCTCATTACGATAATGGCCAACGTTGCGTACAACACACCATACACCAACTACATCATTTGGGTCCAATACCTTCCGCAGTATTTCGATCAGCCCTATGCGGCTCATGCGGCCTACCAGATTCTCATTGCTTTGAGTACCAATTTCATTGGCTACGGAATGGCGGGAATCTGTCGGAGGTTCATCGTCTACCCGTCTTACTGCGTGTGGCCCGCGTCTTTGGTCACCATCGCCCTCAACTCCGCCTTCCATACCGGCGAGAACACTCCAGTGAAGGGACCTCTTGGTACGACATGGCGCATTTCGCGTATCAAGTTCTTTTATGCCATGTTCGGCGCCATGTTTGTTTGGTTCTGGTTCCCCGGCTATATCGTTACCGCCTTGTCTAAATTTAGCTGGCTGAGCTGGATTGCGCCTAACAACATGGTTCTCAACTCCATTGTCGGATTCAACAACGGTCTCGGCATCAACCCTTTCCCGACCTGGGACTGGAACACCTTGTTGTGGGATTCATCTGATCCCCTCATGGTCCCCTTCTTCAGCACCATCAACCGCTTCTTGGGCGCCTTCGCGTCCATGTGGGTTGTGCTTGCTATCTGGTATCGTAACGTCTACAACACAGGGTACTTGCCGATCAACACGAACCGAGTGTACGACCATTTCGGTCACTTGTACAACGTCACCTTGGCCACCAACGAAAAAGGCCTTTTCGACGCCGAGAAGTACAAGGAATACTCACCTCCGTTCCTGGGCGCTGGCAACGTGGTCATTTACATGTTTTTCTTTGGCGTCTACACTTCCACGTTGACGTACGCGGCCTTGTATCATCGCCGCGAGATGGTCACTGGCTTCAAAGGCCTCGTCAACAGTTTCCGTCGCAACAAGGTGGCAACCGACGAGTCTGAACTCGACGTTCATCACCGTCTGATGAAGAAGTACCCCGAGGTGCCTGAGTGGTGGTACTTTATATGCCTTGTCGTTGCCATCGGGCTTGGTATTGCCGGCATCAAGGGCTGGGATACCAACACATCTCCAGGGGTCGTCTTCTACGGCTTGGCCCTCTGTATAGTCTTCGTGATCCCTGTCGGCATCATCAAGGCCATGACTGGTATCGAAGTCACACTCAACGTTCTGGCCGAGTTTATCGGTGGATCCTTCGTTGAGGGAAACGCCCTGGCGATGAACTACTTTAAGTCATTCGGCTATGTCACCTGCGCCCATGCGGTGTGGTTCTCCAACGACCTCAAGCTCGCACATTACGTCAAGATCCCGCCCCGCCACACCTTTTGCGCACAAATGGTGGCTACCTTTGTCGGAACCCTCGTCTGTGTTGGCGTCCTCAATTTCCAAATGCGACACATTAACGATGTTTGCACGCCCAATGCTCAGTTCCGTCTGACCTGCCCTGGTGTTAACACCTTCTTCACTGCCTCCGTCCTTTGGGGCACTGTTGGGCCTACCAAGATTTGGGGCCACAATGGCCAGTACACCGAGACACTGATCGGGTTCCCTCTCGGTGTCATCATTGTCGTCTTTTTCTACATACTTCACAAGAAGTTCCCGAAATTGACATGGGCTCGCCAGATTCATCCCGTCGCCATCATGTATGGTGGGATAGTCTGGGCCCCGTACAACATGTCATATGTCTGGCCATCGGTTCCCATTGCCTACCTATCGTGGATTTACCTCAAGTCCCGCTTCCTCGGCTTGTGGTCTAAGGTATGCCTTCTCGATTACTGTACAACCGAATCTCCTGCTAACATAATCCTAGTACAATTTCGTCCTCTCGGCAGCTTGGTCGTGCGGCATCGCTATTGCGGGCATCCTCATTTTCTTCACTCTCCAGTGGACGGAGACGGAGTTTGAATGGTGGGGCAACAACATCCCATACGAAGGCTGCGAGGGCGAGGCATGTACATTGAAGACGCTCAAGCCCGGGGAGTACTTTGGTCCACGGATAGGCGACTTCCATTGAGCCAGCATTCTGTTCTTTCGACGCACAATTGGGGCACGGGGCTTGATTTTGCAGAACGGTGTTATGGGCCTGTCAAAACTTTTGGGATCTCGTTGGGAACTTGGGAATGCATCTGGACTTTGGAGTCATCTACTAGGGACTGGCGAAACTTGTTGAATTGTGTATGGGGATAACGGTCGGCGATTTTGGATTAGTTATACCCCCGATCCTCCTTTTTGAGTTTGACATGCCGTATTTGAATTTGCTGAATAGATGAGTCAACTGATGATCTGCTGCTGTCATGGGCAAATGAAGTGAGGTGAAATTTTCTGTGTAGTAATAGAGACAAGCAAGTAGTATCCATGAACGCCCAGATGCCATAGAGCACTATCAATCCAATGCAGAGATGCCAAACAAACACTGCCACAATCAAATCACCAACCTCATCATGTAGCCAACCAAGCTGGACCCAGAGGCGACACTGGGCTCTCCTCATTCGTACTGCTCGAGTCACCACTCGCCCTTCTTGCCGAGGGGCTCATGGGGCTAACAGCCAATTCCGTTGGCTGCTGCGCCGTTCCACTCTGCGGATTCAATGGCCCAAGAGTATCCGACCTCAGTATCATCTGTGTTGACGATCGACCCTCATTCTGGATGGGCGTCGAACGCCCTCCGTTCTGCTCGTTGTACTCATGCTGCAGCTCCAGAGCACGCGGGGGCAGTTCAGTTGGGACAGGCTCGCTGATCATCACGCCCTTTGGCCCGGACCCGACGCTGTCGCGTGACTTGTGCGATGAGCGGTGGCGACGCACCCAGTCCCCTGCTTTGGAGCCGAGGTCACGGACGCTACCACTGTGTTGGAGGCCGCGGAGGCGGCCGAGAGTGCTCTTGCGAGCAGCGCCTTGGTTGTTGGACGACCACTTGTTCTCCGTAGGCGTACTCCTGCCACCCGGAGCCGCGTGATTGTTGGCCGATGCCACATTGACGCCGCCGTTGGGTCCGTTGGCCCACGACATGACCTGCTTGCGGCGTGTGATGCTCGAGACGATACCTGCGTCCGACATCTTCTTGACGATCAGCTCGTACTGCGCTGCCATGGTCGGATGCTCAATAATCTCCGCGGGCGTCACGCGGAGCTTGTTCAGGCCCTTGATGGGCTGCTTGACGAACTCGGCGTTGATGCGGTCGGCAAATGTCTGTGCGGGCAGCACCGAGCCCCAGAGATCGAAAAAGTTGGCCTTGTGTACTTGGTCATCTGGCACGCCGAGTGCCTTGGGGTCAATGACGCCTGACCAGACGGCGGATATGAGGGACTGCAGGGCTTGGCGTTCGTCGTGAGGGAGTGATTGATGGCCTTTGGGAGTGTCGCCTCCGACAATGGGGGACCCAAAGGCGACGGGGATCTTGGGCGCTGAACGAGTGATCTCTATGGCAGACTGCACCATTGGCTTCTCGATTGTATCGTAGCTGGTGATCATGTCAACGGCAATGGTCAGCACACGAAGGGCATCCTCTGCGAAGCTGCTTGGGACACGACCCTCGGAGTACTTGAGCTCGAAGTTGACCGTATGAGGCCCGTCGGTAGTGGTCTGGATCAGAATATCTGGCAGGTCCTGCATACCCGGCTCGATTACCGTGTGGGTGAAAGTCGTGTCGCCCATGTTCAAGGTAGTGGCACCATCGGGTGGAGGCTGGGGGCGGTGGTGCACGACGGTACTGAAGCGAGTCCAGTAGGGCCAGTCCGTACATTTCTGAACGAGTTCCAAAATGCCCATGCCCTCATGGGCTCGTGCCTCTGTGCGTGACTCCTGCACCACACGCATAAAGTCGAGTGGCGTCTCTTGCGTATCGGGGAATCTGACGCGCATGGGGACAATATTGGCCGTGGGGGCAATCATGGTGGACGTATCAAAGCGATCGGGCAGAGGAATATTCTGCGCCTGAGTGACGACGCCAAAGACAACGTCAGAAGAGGCAGCGTACTGGGCGAGCACAATCGCCCATGCTGCCTTGAGGACAGTGCCAAAGTTCAGCCCATACTCAGAGACTGGATCGATCTGAATGGTTTGGCGCAGCGTTTGTATGTCAGATGCAGGAGGGCAGGGTTTCGCATGAGCGACGAACTGTGTCATTTTGGCGCCGTCAAGCTTCTCCCTCCAAAAGTCAATGGTGCATTGGTTATTAGCTCCCTGAGCTGCGCGGGTGTACTCGAAGAAGTTGGGCCTGGACGAGACATTGCCGTGGCCTTCGTAGAGCGCAGCAAGCTCCTGCACAAGAAGCGTGACCGAAGCTTCGTCAATCTGCGCGCTACTGAGGCGGACGATCAAGGTACTTTGCTGGCCAGCGTCAAGGAATGTGAACTTGGTGGCAGGCTCCTCTGGCTTGAAGTCGACATCTTGATCCTCGGCGATGACATTGTCGGCAACACTGCCCAGACACCACGCAGGGCAAGGGTACCGCTGGAATTCAGGACGGAAACCGTCCAGGAGCACCTGGTAGACATGACGATCATGAACGGCGAAGGCAGTACGGAAGATGGGATGCAAGCGGGACAGAGTCTCGCACGCCGTCTGCAGCTTCTGCGCACGGATCGAGCCGTTAAAGTTGAAGACGAGGCATTTGATACCGCCCTTCTTGCCGTACATGCGAGTTTCCAAACCATGGATTTGATAAGCCGAGGCCTCCACAACGTCCAACACTTCTCGATGATGGACCTTCATCTGAGGCGCAACGTAATCCTTGACAAAGTTTTCCTCAATGTTGGGGATCTTGAACGAGTCGATCATACTCTCGGTGCGTTGAGGCGACCGTCGTACTTCTGCAGGCTTGATGTCAGCGGCGGCCATGGCTTGGCAAACCTCTGTCAGAGAGGCACCACCGAGGATATCGTTCAGAGTGACGGTCAAGGACGACCGGCGAGCTGCCACCACTAGCTTCTTGGCAAGGTATTTGTCGCCTCCCAGCCGAAGAAAGCTATCGTTGCTCTTGATCTTGGAAGGGGGGATGTCAAGAGTTCCAGCCCAGACGTGCCGCATGCGCTCCTCGACATGTGTCAAGGGCAAAGGCTTTTCGGCAGCCTCAGCCTCCTCAGCATTGGCAGTTGTTGCAACCCCCATCAATTGTGAATAGGACATAATTGATACCATTTTCTGCAGCTTGCGCCTGTTAACCTTGAGCGAGCTTGAGATGGGAAACTGCTTCAATGGGATGAAGACTGAAGGGATGTGTTCCATAGCCAGCCCCTTCGCCCCTCCAGTTGGCGAAGAGGCCCTGCGCAGTGCTTTGGCTAGTTGCGTGCGTTCTTTGGTGCGGGCGCGAAGCTGGTCGAGATCTTCAGAGCCCTCTTCGAGGTCATCGCCGAGTTCCAAGAACGCAGCCAAAAGCTGAATGGAGTCATGCGTGGTCACTGATTCCACGACGATGTCGTACTTGGAGCCCAAACATCGGCGAAGTTGATGCTCAATGTCAGAAACGGATACGCGAGTGCCATCAATATAGACATCATCGCGCATGCTCGAGAGAAACTGAATGCTCTTGTTATCCAAATATCGCACGCGGTGACCCGTCTTGAGATAGCGCATCCTGCCTGGGCTCTCGGCAGTGCCGGTTCGAGACGGTGCCTCCGCGATTTGCCCAGGAACAAACTTGTGAGGCGTCAGCAGCGGACAATCGATTGCCAGCTCACCAACAGCACCAAGCGGCATCAGTTTCTTGGGGTCTTCCAAATTGAGAATCCAAAATCTCCCCGCCAGCGGCTGTGGAATCATGGTAGTGTTGTTACTGTCCTTAATCTCGGCGATAGAAATGCCTAGAGGGCAAATATCCGGCGCTCCGTAGGCCAAAAGGACATGTCGGTTCGGCATCCACGACTTGCGCGTGTCTTCGTCCAGCCGGCGAGTTCGGAAGCAAAGAGTCTTGAGATTGGGGACCTTCGCAGGGTCAATGCGGCGAGCAAGCGTCGAGGTCATGTACGACCAAGTCACGTTCATGCTGGCCAGTACACCAGCCAGATTGTCCTGTCGATCCTTGGCAGATGGGATGCAGATACAACCGCCGTGAACCATAGTGCCCAGGATCTCGACGAGGGCAATATCGATATTGAACGCCGCCAACTGCAGGACTCTGCTGTCCCTGTTCAGCTTTAGGGCAGGGCCCTGCGCTTTGAATGTTGCACATAGTGAAGCGTGAGTAAAGAACAAGCTCCTTGAGGCGCCCGACTGGGACTTTCCGGGCGAGTAGATGATGCAAGCACCGTGATCAGGAGTCGGGTCCCGTGCAGGAATCGAGACCTGGGGTGGTAATATGGAGAAGAAGCGCTCGTTGACAATAACCAGGTTGGGAACAATGCACACAATGTCATTCCACGCCGAATCCGTGGCCACGACAATGCGAGAATTGAGCTGTTTCACTGAAGCTTCGACAGCGCTGCGATCATGAGCATCGAGGCTGACGACAGTGCCACCAGCCTTGAGAACCGCGAGCATGATGACAGGCGCCCACTTGCTCTTTTCCAAAACAACAGGCACAGGCATTCCAGGCGTGATACCAATGTTTCGGAGGTACGTCGACAAGGTCGAGACACAGTAGGTCATCTGGTGGTAGGTCATGTTGCCGTCCCAAGCGCAGATGGCAGGCGCTTCAGGGCGTGACTGGGCGTGAGGAAGAATGAGCTGAGGCAGTGTCGTGTTGACCTTATCTCCAACAGGGTTGGACTCGAAGTCTTGAACAACGAGCTGAGCATAGTCGCGATCAGTGAATAGGTCAACGGTGCCAATGTTCTGCGTGGGGGTGTCGAGAATGACGCGGATGGCTCTCTCAAATGTGTGTACAATATTCTGCGCCTGGGCAGGCGTCATGCGACGGAAGGCGAGGTCGGCGTGAAGGTGATCGTCGATAAACATGGTGGACATGGACAGATCAGTGTCAGATGTGCGCGAGGACGTGACCAGGTTCGCTCGGAAGCTCGCGGCGTCCAACTCGGGATACTTGTGGCGTGCATTGTCAAAGTCCCTCATTGACAAGCATGTATTGAACACGTCGTCGGTGTTCAGCTTCAGGGCATGTTGGATCTCTGCCATGGTCGGGTTGCGGCCTTGCCTTGCAATGGCAGCAACTTCGCCCAGGCTATGCAGACACTCGATGATGGTGCGTCCAGGATTCAGATCAACTGTGCAGGGTGTCTGCGCAGCAAAACTCCCAATCTCTTGCTTGATGCCGGGCATTTGTTTCTCATCTCTTCCAGCGGCCTCATAGCCGAATGTGACATGATCCATGCCCACGTACACGCGGAGCACAATGGCCCATGCCAGCTGGAGGACATAAACAACCTCGACCTCACGCTGTCTGGAGAATTCTTGGAGCTCAGCGCACTTCACCTCGAGGCCGAAAGGCCGCGAACGAGGCGGTATGTGATCGCTGGGCTTGCTTGTCAGTGCAGGGAAGTTGCAAGGCTTAGTGTCAGCCAGTAGTCCTTGCCAGCTTTCAAGGATCTGCGATGTGTCCGAGGTCGTAGCTTGATATAACCATGTTTGCAATAGGAGGGTGTTGTCGCCGGCTTCGTCGGTCTCTTCCGCGTAGGCCATCCTCAAGCGAGTAATGAGATTGTCGATAGCGATAGACTGTCGAGACTGTTAGTAATGGACTGCCTTGCTTTCATAACCTAACTCACATCGCAAATGGCTTGACTAGCGTCGATGCGAACAAATGTCTTCGCGGACGTTTTGCATACGGAAAAACGGTGTTTAGGGCGTGTTGACGAGATTTTCAGCGTTGGAAGACTCTCCAATGTTTCGACAGGGCTTTCGCTGTCGAGAAACAGCATCTCAGGAGAAATCTTTTTGAGAACAACCTGGTCAAATAGGCCGTCTTCGGTGACACTGTCGATGAACACACTGCGCAGTGCTGAGTGTGACTCGACAATGCTGGTCCATGCGGCACACAACTTGCCCTGGCTGACAGGCTTCCTTTCCGAAGTGCTGAATTCATAGATGGCATGATTCCAAAAGGATTCCGGGTCGAGGCTCTGTGCAATCAAGATCTCTTGCTGAGATGGGTTGATTGGATAGATCGTCTCTATTTCGCCGACATTGTCAAGTCCAAGCTGCTCCAAACGATCCTCCGCAATCTGTGACAGTCCTCTGTACGTAGTTCTCAGAAGTGGAGCGTCGGCCAGTGTTAGCTCAGGGCCCGTCATCTTGAGCTTTCCAATAGCGCCAACAGCCAATGATTCGAACTGCTTGAGCCATTGTTCGATACGGTTTTGACGCTGGGGCTTGATGTAAACGGCTTCCACCCTGGCCTCGGCGTCTTCGATTGCCACGGAGATCTCGAATAAAGCAACCCGGCCTACGCTAGGGCCGATATCTGAGGTGACTGTATCGACAACACGGTCTGGCCTCGCGACAGGTTCCAAAACCCCGTTCTTGCGGTGGAGTTTGTGCATCTTGTCGACGCAGCTGAAGAGGATTTCGACGGGAATGGTAGTGAAGGGCGCCGAAGGAGTCAGAAATTCAGTGTTGAAGAAGGGGATACCGGAATTGGGTATCGCCTTGCGAGTGTCCTTCATCAACTTGAGCAGCTCCATAATGTCCGAGTCTGAATTAGCCATCAGGCTGATGGGACATAATGAGGTGAACCATCCGACAGTCTCGTCGATGTTGAAGTCCTCGTTCTTGGTTTGGCGCCCATGCTCCTGAGTCCACAATATCGGCGCCTCGCGATCAGGGAATGTCTGGCAAAATGAAAGAAGCAAAGCCGTCAATAGAAGGTCTGCCGGTTCTGTACGGAAGACCTGGCGACAAGCTGTCCGCAGTGAGTGCGTCAGCTCCGAGTTGAGGGCAAAAGAAAACTGCTGCGTGTTGCCGTACACATTGCCGTCAAGATCCAAATCCCAGTAGCCCAGACTCGGCGGTGAAATCTCGAAAGGGAGCTTGGGCTGCACCAATCGATGGCTCATTTCATAGCCCTGGTACTCTATCCAGTTCGAGAAGGGAATCGATGGGTTAGAAAGCAGAGTCCCCTCGCGTAGGAGCTCGTCCATGTCATGAATCACAATCCGCCAGGAAACCAAGTCAATAGCCAAGTGGTGGGCTACTAGGAAGATGAACTGCTGATTATCGCCTGCCCTGATGTGCTCGGCAGAGAATATAGGACCATTTATGGGGTTGATAGACGCATGCGCGCGTTCCACAACGCCAGTAATCTCATTTTCGTCCGTGACCTGATGATGACCGTATCGATAGGTGTTCCGCGACTCGGGAAGGATGACTTGAGCCCAGCCCTCACGCGTGAGGCGAAATCGAGACCGGAGCATAGAATGGCGATTGACCAATGCTTCGACAGCAGCTTCAACGTCGGGTGATTCCGAGTCAGCTTTGACACGAAGTAGAACGCTCTGACTGAATCGGCATCCTGGTTCGGTGATCGAGTTGGGCTTGGGGTTGAGGTTCATTGAGGTGCGGAAGAAAAGCTGCTGCATGGCAGAGAGAGGGAAAAACTCTACATCGTCGGGAGTGTCTGCCATCTGCTCGTGAACCTCGAGACGACCAGACTCATCTTCTACCCACATGGAGAAGGTCTTTTCAGGTCGCGTGGTCGATAGTCGGTTCTGGATGATGAGCGAGTCCTGTTGGGAATACGACCGGGGACGGATTTTGAGACCCATAGAGTCGCGCACCCCAGGTCTGGCAATCTTGGTCGCCGCGGGTACTGCTTTAGCCTGTTGCAGGGCGATTTCAATCTCTTCTTCCGGCTCATCCTCCTCGGGAATTGGCTCGGGCTTGAAGACAACAATGTCTGGCTGTCCTCTGGACGCCCGGCGCATCAGCTTGTCGGACTGAGGCGCTTGTGGTTCGGGTTGATGTGCCTGTTCGACTTGGGGCGAACCAGCGATCGCAGCCTGTTCGCGGCTAGGAGCTGGGCGTTGCTCCTGGGCTGGAGGTGGTAGCGCAACCGGCGCTTCTTGCTGCGCCTGTTCTTGAATCTGTGACTCTCCTTTCGGCGGTCGGTCCAGGAGCTGCAGACTAAGCAGGCGCTGAAGACTCAAAACACGCTTTTCAACATCCTCCGTCAAGTTCCTCAGCCACCACTGCAATGCTCGGGTCGCAGGCTTGCCATTGCTTTTGGTAATCATTGAGTGCAGGGGGACCCAGACGTCAGGCCAAGGCACACTTCCGCCCCATTCACGCAGAGCCGTGTAGAACCTTTTGATTCTTCCTTCAACTGCTTCATAATCGCGTTCGGGGGGCAGCGAGATACCCTCGGCTTCACTGGCGGACTGGTTGCGGGTGCTGACAAAGGCAACGAGTTGGTGCTCAAAGGGGCCGGCTGATGCTCTGACAAGACAGAAGTACTCGCCGCGAGCCACCGAGCTCAGAAACTGAACAAGCTCTGCGGTATCGTCCAGATCGATTTGAACATTATTGGAGGGCTCTTTGCCGAGAGCCTTTTCCGATTTCGGCTCTTCAGCCTGTTGATGAGCGCCCTGTCCTTCCCGAGGTGGCGCGTCCTTCCAAACGTCAATATCTGGAGGTGGTCCATAGATAGATTCTTGGTTTTCCCGGCCCTTTGTAGGCGTGAAGACCCGTTCCGGCTCGTTGAGCGACGCTTCCGTATCAGCCGAGGTTCTTTTCGATGTGTTTTGCGAGGAATTTGAAGCTGAGTCGTGTATCGACGTTGTGTGTGCCTGCAGTTCGGCCAATGTCTTGCAGCGCAGAATATCCTCGCTGCTGACTCTGACACCGTAGCGCTGCATGCGCTGCTCCAACTTCGCAGCCAACTCCTTGTTGCCTCCCAAGTCGGTGAAAGAGTCGGAGAGCAAGATGTCGCTCTGAGGAATCTTCAATGTCTTTGCTATACCAACGAGAAGGCGATCTGAATTTGACTCGCTTGGTGGGATTTCGGTGGGAACCCTGTCGGGCCGCGGCCGTGTTGGGTGAGCCATAACTGGCGTCTCTGTGCTGTTTGGACTCGAGGTCCGTGGTCGATGCGTAACTTTCACAAGACTTGTGGCATGCTCCAGCCAGTCCCACTCACTTAAGAGATGGCCGGTTTGACGACGACCTTATTTTAGGGTTTCTGCCGTTTGAATATCTGCAACCAGGCAGACAAGTCGCGAGCAAGGAGAGAGGCGAGGGGCAATCGATCCAGAGTGACCCTTGGCTCGATATAAGAGCCTCTGATCCAGCACGAGGCTGAGCTCTATTCGGCAGACAATTTGCGAAGCGCTTCTTCAGGTTCTTGCAAGCCCGATAGCAAGAAGAACGAGCACTGGTGTATGAGAGTGGCTCTTTGTGTGTATACGGAGCATATCACAGAGTCTGTTCTTACGGAATGAAAAGGATTGAAGCAATCATTAGGTGAGAATCGAAGAAAGTTGCCCGAAAGGGATCGCGGTGGCCGCTGAGGCCCCATCGCTCCTATGTAAGAAAGCCGGTGGCTCATGTTGGGTTGGGATGACGTTACTGACGCTGGGAGGGATCTTGTGCAAGCCATGTTCATGGTGAAGACGGCCCGCTAGGAGCCAGCAATCGCCTGTGCCAGCCGCATTGGCATGTACAGCCCCAGCATCCTTGACTCCAGACGGCGATGCTGGACTGGACTGCTGCACATGTGGTGGCAGCTCCGGCCCGCTTGGAGCCGGGGGTTGCAGGCATGATGAGGGCCTCAGAGCATTCGTGAGCCAGTACCGCGTCTCTGCGGCGCATCTCGACACGAAGCAAGCAGATCGCTCGATGGATTGGTCTTGTGGGATCCGACGTTGGCACCGCAGATTGCCTGACTGGGGCTAGCCAGCAAGATACTTACGTGGGAGCAGCCATATGCGACGCGCCAGGGCTGCGAGCTGGGGGCTGGTGGAGTAATTATCGAAGCTGATCAGCAAGCTGGGTTAGCTGACAGGTTTAGTGATGTGAGCCTTATGGTGGGATTTGGACAGTGATGGTAGATTCTGTGCCATGGCCAACAGTTGAACAGAGAGGGTGAAGCGAAGCGCAGTGAAGCTGCTGCCGCTGCTGCTGAAGGATTCTTTCCATGCGCCCTGTGACGGAAAGTGCCACCCACTCCATACGCAATGACGTATGTACGTACTTACTTACTTAATGTCCCTTAGAATTGTAATTATTATGTTGAAGCCTGCAAGCTTTCGCAGATTATCTGGCAGACGCTCCTTCCTCAACGCGAAGTGCGAATGATTGACGGTTGGGCAGCGCCCACAAACAGGTACATAGTACGCAGTAGCCCACAGTGTAAAATTGCAAAGATGAGCGTAGGGACTTGAAATAGGGACCCTTCATCGCCCTGCAGCTACGACGGCAAGCTTCGAGCTTCGAGCTTCGTACTTGCAGCTAGCTCAAGGATGATTGATAAAGACAGAACTTTTTCAAACCAGAACTTCTGTCTCCTGACGATCAATTTAGCGGTCATCCCTATCATAAAATAGGCAATTCTGTGGTACAGGGTAAGGCGATCGCCAATAGACCAAGCGCTTATAGTCTTTGTGGTATCGTGCAATAATTTGTGATCATGTATGAAAGTAATAAGGATTACCTAAGGTGCCGGGAATCAGAGCAGTTAGATGGTTTCTCACTTATGCTCGGGCTTGAACATCGTGGAACATTTAGGAGATGCTCGCCACGCTGCCCTCATGGTCGTCCACGATGCGATAGCGAACGTATAGGCAATGGTTCACCACTAGAATGCATTTGACCTTTTCGTTCGTTGTCTTGAGGCACTGCTTTTCCGAATGAATTGTAATCACTTGCTCCGTTACTATTACCATCTCCTGAAACCTTTTTCAGCTGTTCCCGCCAACGAACGGACGTCGCTAGTCACCTTCGGCACAACCACTTGAACAAGCCAAGGATCCCACGAGGCCTCTCCTGTCGATCTGACTAGCAGGACGATAGAAGCTTGTGGCGGATGCACCTACTCCCTCCGACAAAGTGGTGCGTGCCTGTGTGATCATCATCATCCTCCTCCAATCTGAGGCTGAGGCCGTCGTTTCCCAATCACCTAGAACACATTTAAGTATACAGTACACGATAGGTTTGGCAGGACACTTTACTCTAAGGTAAATTCCGACATATATTGCCAGCGCGAAGGAAAATAATGCTCGGACAACCATGATGTGCGTACCCCAGCCAAAGATCAAAGGACGAGGCGGACACGTTGTGTATGTACGGACTTGGTTTCCCCTCCTTGCGTGAGGGGCAGCAGGTATAATAGTGTCACCTCAGATAGAGATCACCCAAAGCCAAGCAGCATTCCATACTTTTACAGTCCGATACCCAGTGGGCGCATTTCAACGACGTTGCTGTGCCCAACGGGCACGGAAAATGTGTATAGTATACATCTCTCCATTCATCATAGCAACCGTCTTGTTTGTCCAAACGGCATTGCGGATCCGTCATCGTCTAATGCATTTCCTACTTATTCCAACAGCACCCCAGCCCAGTCATGCATATATGAACGTCAGACCTTGACGGGTTCGTCGTCATCAGGGTCCTCAATGCTAGTCCTCCGCTTCGCTTCTTTGACTTCAACCGCAGCCGAAGGAGCAGCCTCGGACTCTGGCTTCTTTTCGGACAATGATTCGCCCGCCGACTCTGGTTCGTTCGGGGCTGCTTGCTCTGACCTGGTGCTGAACGGCCAGAGACCACTAAGACTCCGATTGCCGTCCTTAGCAGGGTTGACTGCTAGCGGTCTTAAGACAACGTTCTCGTCAGGCTTCTCGTCATTATCCTCGGCCATAGCAAAATCTCCAAATTCATCGTCGTTGTCTTCATCCAGGTTGCGCTCCTCTTCGTTGGCTTTCCTTCGCACAACTCCTCGCCACCAGGAATCCCGCCCGTCTTCTCGAAGTATATCGTCATCATCGTCAAGGTCGTCTTCCCCATCGGCAAAGGGATCTTTGAGGTCGTCATCGTCATCGTCGTCACCCTCGCCCTCATCGTGATGGGAAGCAGATGAGGGCTCTGCGGTCTCATTGTTGTTCTTCTGATGCAACGCAAGCCTTGCAGCTAGCTGCCTCCGAGCTCGGGAGGGAGGTATGTTCAGAGGAGGCGGTGGCGGTGGCGGGGGAGGTATTGAAGGAGGCGCAAGCGAGCTGTCCGCGTTGCTGGGGTCTGTGTACGCGCGAAACTGTGAGGACGACATCAGCATCTCAATCCCACGAGTGTAGAGAAACAAAGGAGATGAGAGCCACGGCGCGAGCGAGAACACCAGGGACATGCTTGCACCAGCGTCGCGGCACGTCAGAATACAGCAGATGCCCCATCGCCATTCAACACAACAAACAGCAACACCAGCTTCAAAGCCCCCCGCCAGCCCAGCACAACCCGCCTACCTCAATCGCGGGTCTTGCCGAGGAGTCGAGATATGATCCTGGGATCCAGATCGCCAAATTGCTCGAGCTCCTCATCCAGCTCTTGATCCACCTCATTCGGCAATGCCACGTCAACACCTGCTTCCATCTCGATGGCTCTACCGCGCTAAGATAGAGAGTCTTGCGACACTGTGTCTCCGGCAATACGCGCGCTCAACCCAGGTGAGTGAGGGGGCGACTCCATCACTATGTCCACATCGGTATGGGACGTGCCTGGGGGATCCACGACGACCTCGGGCGACAGCATGACAGCATCGTCCGAGGGCACCTTCAACCCACCGGTCTGGGGGGGCTCTGGTCCTTGCTCTCGCTGTTCTCGCTCTTGCTCCTTCGTCAAAATGCCACTCACCTCGGAATTGATATCCTCCTCGTCGACATCGCCTTCTTCGTCATCCTCGTCGCTGCTGCTGCCAAAGCCGGACATCAAGGTGCCGGCGCTTATGGCGAATGGGCCGATGCCGTTGCCGCCGCCTTCGCTGTTGAGCTCGATGCCCCCGTTCAGTCCTGCATCGGACAAGGCATTGGACTGGCCGCCAGACGTGTTGCCGGTTAAGCCCGAGAGGCCAATACCACCTAGACCACCAGCACCGCTTAGACTACCTCGGTGACCCAGAGCAACTTCAGGACGTACACCTCCAAGTATAGCGTTATCCCTCTCGCGGGTTTCGGCGAGGGCTCCCTCAACGTAGTTGATCCACTCCTCGCTCATGACCTTGTTCAGGACCGTTTCCGAGAGCAGTTCAGGTGGGTGACGCTCGGTGAACTTGACAACCTCCTCGGCGATCAGAGTCAAATGACCCATGTAGCCCATGCGAGTCTTCGTCTTGGCGTGGGACTCGTCACTGGCCTGCTGGCCCTTGATGATGGCGGCTGTAATGTCAGCAGCCTCAAACAGTGATATAGCAAGCGTAGGATTGCAGCCACGATCCATGGGTCCGTTGAACACTTGTTGCACAATGTCGTAAACAACGTTGTGTAGGAAATTGTTCCAGGGGTACGAGAAGAAGAATGACTAGGCCCAATTAGTATGTGCAGAAAGAGCAGCGGACCTGAGCTCGTACCAAGATCGTGGGAACCACGTTGTGGTCCACAAATTGCATTTTCAGGAAGTCTCCTACCACAGGCTCAGTGGATGCCGGGGCCGTTTTTTCGTCCTGCTCGTCGACTGGTAGCGTGGCCGACTGGTCATTTTGCGTATCTTCCGTTGCATTGCCCGAAGTCTGTGGTGGCTTCGCGGCACCAGACCCAGGAGCCGAAGGCGCGGAGAATAGTGGTGCTGGAGTATCTTCCGGATGGGGCGACAATGGGCCCTCGCTCGGAGCGGGTGCCTTGCTTGAACCTCCAGCAGGTCCAGTGACAGGCAGCGCCAAGCCACCCTCGTCCGGCGGGCTCTCTGAAGTAAGACTAGTTTGTTGCTTTCCGTCGGCTTTGGCGGCGTCCTTTTCACTTGTTTCATTACCTTCGTTTGCCGAAGACTGAGTAGAGTCCGATGCGCCATCTGTCGAGTCGGGCTGTGCAGCTGAGGGCTTTGTAGGGGAAAGGGGAGCAACGACTAGCTCAGGGTCGTCGAGTTGAGGCTTGTTGGCACCCGACGGCGGCGCTGTGGGACTTAAAGGCTCGTCCACGAAGTCATCTTCATCCTTGCCAAGCAGAGATGTCTGCTGGCCAGGTGGAGTCTCAGCCTCGGCTTTGACGAATTCGTGCGACGTGTCCTCGCTCATTTCCTTGCTGGGCTCCACTTCCTCGAACCCATCATCGTCTGCATTGGTCACCTCCAGACGGCGGGCCTCCTCTTGACCAGTCTGCGTTGAGCGCATTGTAAGGTCGTCCGTAGAAACGTCTTCGTCTTTGGTCGGACTAAGCTTTCCGTCGTCGCGCATGCGCTGTCGTTCGGCATCGCGTGCTGCTATGAGCTGCTCCGAGCCGACCTCGTTGAGCAGTCCCATGTTGCTGCAGTGAAGAAGCTCCGCCATCAGTTCGCAGGTCTTGAAACGGTCAAAACCCAGAGGCTCTAGTCTCTGGCCAAAGGTCGAGTCAGCCCGCTCCTTCTCAGCCGAGCTGCCCAGCACGAGATCCATGAACTTGGGAACATTTTCGGCGAACATGCGGAGCAAAGTGCCCAAATATATTGGATCGTGCGCCGAGGGCGTCGCGCTGTTGCCAGCGCCAACGTCAGGATCGTAGTCGGAGTTGTTCTTGCGGATGACTTCGATAATGATGCCTACGCCGACGGTGAGGGCATTGCCCCCACCAAGCATGAAGCCTACTAATCGTTCTACACATTCTCTCGAGACCAATTGACGAGTAAGTTCGTTAGGACCGATGCACTGCTGTTCGTTTTGGGAAGCGTTGGCCGAGATGGTGATAATTGCCTTGATGAAGTCTCCAGCAGCCGTCTGAACGACCCAGCTGTGCTCGGGACTTAGGAAAGACAGTAAAGTCGGGATGATGTTCTTCGAGTAAAGCCACTGTATGACGGTTAGCTTGAGGTGCTGATCTGGTGACGGCTGATAATACCTCAACAACGCCTTGCCCGCCCTCGTTACGGTCCAAGGCGATGATCTTCAGCAGAAGGTCCATGACCATGGGACATTCGACGTGTTTGAGCAAATCACCGACGGGGTCAGGCAGGCTGCGCAGCAAGTCCATCATCTCGTCTGTCTTCTTCTCGAAAAGCGATTCGTTGATTTTGGTAAAGTAACTCGCTTGCAAGGGATCGAGAGGCGATTCCCGCTGGAGGAAGTTCCAGAAATTGCGGATGAGTTCGCGGTTCTCCGTCAAAGCTTCGTAGATGGACCAGGTATCCGAGGACAAGATTTCGCACGAGACAAAAGCATAGCGATTGCGCTTCTTGTCCGCCTCGTCGTCCTCGTTCTCGGTTGCGTCAGTCGTGCGCGACGATGCGCGGGGCCGCGAGAAGGACAGCAGGCGGTTCTTGCCCTTGCCAGACTCGTCATCCTGATCATCTGTAGTCTCGAAGACTTCTAGTCGGGGGGCTACAGCATAGTCGAGCAGTTTCTCGAGGACCTTCTCCTCACGCAGGTACTCAATGAGCTTTGAGTTGGGCTGCTTGAGCTCCTGAATCAGATCGCTTTCGTCAAGCAACTCTTCGAGGGTAAAGTTCTCTTTGTCAAGTATGGTGTCGATGGTCGAGATGTTGGCGTAGCCGCCAAACCTCCAAAACATGGTGGTAGCCCTGTATGACGGCGCTGGGCAGGATGCGCACCAGCACCGGTGTGGGGGTCTTGGACGTTGGGCTTAGCGATGCAGACCATGTGCCGCCGGGTATCAGATCGGCCGGCCGCGCAACTCGAGGTTTTGAACGGAGCAAGAATTGGAAGTGTCCGGCACCGACGCAGAGGATGGCTGGAGTCGAGGGAGACGCGATTTTGTTGCAATGTCGAGGGCGGGTGGTCGATTGAGGCAGAGAATTCGATAGGGGCGTCGCTGGTCAGCGCCAAGGGCTGCTGGCAGGTTCTGCGAAGGTCTGCCTCTAGTATAGAATGCCTAACCGAGGTACTTGGACAGAATCGTTGTCCTCGAGAAGCGCGCCAGGTGTTTTACGTTAGTTTGATGGCACGAGGACGTCGAGGTGCTTGTTTGGGTAGGTGGGCGATAGTGGTGGGCAGTAGCAGGCGATGGTGCCGTGCTGCCCGCATTGGTGGGTGCCAGTGGGTCCCGCTGGTGCTCTAGGGTAAGACCGAGCACTGAGGCTACGTAAGGTACCTTACCTAGGTACTTCATGGTCAGGTCAGGTGAGCACATGCTGCGACACCAGAATCTGTTCGTCGACCACGTAGGTGCATATAAGGTACTAATAATCAACTACAACTTGAAGTGGCCGAAACCTCCGATGCTCGAGTCTGCTCACGGTCAGATTGACTGACCGAAACCGCACTTGCAACCTTGCCTCTTACGTACTTGCTTACCTACACTTTCTGCTCAACTCAGAATGGGTGTGCTTGTCGATGAGCACTTGTACCTATGCCAGGCAAGCTTAACACACTGAGTCGTGATAGTCTGATATCTTCCATTAGCACCCGAACGGAGGTTTCTCTCATTACAGTCCATGAATCGAAGCCTGATGGTGCTGGTATCTTATGGCAACTGATGGGTCTGCTGGACAGCGAACAGACTACAGAGTAGGCGCTGAGCCCCAGCATAATCTCGAGATTGGTGGCTCTCGACTGTCCCAGTCCCTCTGTTCACCTAAGCAAACCAGAAAGGTAGAATCTCGGGCTAGCCGGTAAGCATGGCAAGACAATATCTGGATCGTTGTCTCAACTATCAGAGAAAATAACACTCCGGTCGGCCACGTTTCGGAGGCCGGAAACACCTCACGTGGCATTCCATGAGCGCTCCCGCTATACCTTCTTACACAAGACCACCACCACGCGCATTGCTACCCAGAGCAACTGCCTACGGTATAGCCCCTTAGCTCGTGCTCTAGTCTAAGTCCTCGGATGATATGGCTCAACCACAGCCCGGACATGGCCCCTGGGCTGGGAAATTATTGTATGCCAGCAGGTTGGGCGTCAGTGGCCCAGACTCCTGTACGACGTCTCTCGTTGCCAGTTCTTGGATCCTTGCTGTCACTCCACCCGGACTCTCCGTTCCATATTCTAGCCGCTTGAGGTACAAGGCAAGACCAGCAATGTAAGATGTGGCCATACTTGTTCCGCTCAGAGCGGCAAATGCGTCTGGGGCGCCAATGTACGCGCTCTCGACGTCGACTCCGGCGGCGAAGACGTCCACCGATGCTCCAAAATTGGCAAATCCTGCCTTTCGCCGACTGACGTCGATGGCCGCTACGGTAATGGCCGTTGACTCGGATGCTGGCGAGAAGAGTTCGGCCGGTAGACCGCTGTTTCCAGCCGCCACAACTGAGAGAACTCCCGCGTGGTAGGCATTCTTCACCGCCGTGTTGAGCGCAAGCGAGTAAGGGCCGCCCAGGGACATCGAAACAACCGCGTTGGCAGCTCGGCCAGGAGTCTTCGTAATGTTGCTCACAGCCCATTCGAGACCGTCGATCACAGTGGCAGTGTCGCCCTGCGCTGATTAGTCTGGGCTGTTCCGTGTCAAAGGGAAAGCACGGGATGCTTACCGAGTCTCCATCCAGGACTTTCACGGCGATTGCCTGGGCATTCTTTGCGACGCCAAAGCGCTTGCCGATGATCGTACCCGCACAATGGGTTCCGTGGCCATTGGTATCTTCGAATGGTATGCTTGGTATGGCATTATAACCCAAGTGAGCGCGACCCTCGAAATCGAGATTCTCTGTATAAATGCCTGTGTCAAGGACATAGACCCAGGTGCCTTCTCCAGCTGAACCCCAGTAGTCATATCGTCTCCCGTCGGGTTCGCGGTGGGAAAGGGATATGAGCCCCCAGGGGCAATTGTGCTGTCCAGTTGATACACCTATTGGGTATCTCAAATTTGGATTGACAGACTGTGTTTCTGTGTAATCATCGTCTTCATCTGGATACTCAGTGGCATCATCCTCGAGCATGGAACCGTTAGGTATAATAGTAGGCCGGAAGATCTGTACCGGCTCAATGCCGACGACCTAATAACGTTAGATTAGCCAGCTCATTATACCAAGAAAGGACTGAACATACATCTTCCCTGCTGGTGATTTGCTTCAGCGTGGCTTCATCAAACTCGCCCGAGTATCCCTTGAAACTTTCAGTCCATACCTTCTCCACAGCCTTCGTGTGAGGACTACACGAGTTACGCGGATGCAGAGATTTAACCCAGGCGATGTGGGACTCCACGTCAGCATCGCCCTTTAGAGTAACAATATACTTTCCTGGCACAACATCAGCATGGTCGGCAGCCCGACGTGGTGGAAATGCGACCACAGCAGCGGCCGCGACGATGATGAGGAGCTTGGTGAAGAGTACCATTGTCGAATATTTGCTGGAGTGTTTAGACCGAAGAACTCTCTCATGATTCGTTTCCCTAGCTTTATACACTTTCAGAGTACGCATGACCCTCCTTCTTCTTCTTGTCGTGCTTGGGCTCAGCTGATATGCAGCCAACGGCCACAACGGCCCTCGTGAGATGGCCATATACAGAGCCGGCGCTCCTATGCAGACCACCAATTAGGTAATTGGTGATACTTGTTCTTATGATGGCCTCACCGTGTCCTGTACCTTGATGAAGTGCGCGCAGAATGCCTTGATGCGCTGGGTGGGTTCATCACGCCTGTATTCCCACATGCTGTTTGAATTTTTTGTCTTGATAGTTCAGCCCGACATATGTAGCAGCGATGTAGGTTGTAACGGTTGCTCGCAAAGTTCGCCAAAATCGGTCATCGGGTTTTTAGCCCGTATGAAGCTGCAGTGTGACACCAATATGTCCAAAAGTCGGTTCTTCGTATTCAGCAACGCGGACTGTCGTCTGCTGCTTGACTAACTAGAAGGCATTCATCGTTCTCAAACCCTTGTCCAGCTCTCCACAAACAGCCTCGCTTGCAGTATAGTCCTTCAGCAGTCCATCCCTCCACCAGGTGTACCACTCTGCCACCTCGGTGAGATCTGCTTCGGCCAATGCAACCCATTCTGCAAGCTTTGCGTTCCACATGGGGAAGATGCTTTGTACCAAGACTTCGGCGACAACTTTAGTGCCCAGAATGCCCTGCCACTTGAACACACCGGTCAAGTACTTCAGATACGGCTCTTGGTCGGCCGGGTCGACGCGAAAATGGCGCCGCAGGTATTTGCTCATGGCTGGCAGAACGTGTGACATGATTAGTGAACGCCACTGTTCGCCTAGTACTGTCTCCCACTGGGTCAACCCAGGAACGACGCCGTTCTTGAATTCCCACGCGTCAATGAGTTGACGGAATTTCCGCCTGACCTCAGCTACCAGACCAGTGCCCTTGGGGTCAAGATGGTAGGGGGGTAGATATTGTAGCCATGGGAAAAGCCAGGTGTGAGGTAGCTGGTGATTCTGACGCTGCTGCTTGGGATGCCAATTCGAAAGCGTACTCTCAAGCCGGCGCACAACATTGTCTATCAGCTGAGCACGCACGAATGGGGGCAGGAAGGCGTCCCACCGCTCTGCAATGTTGAGCATTGGTGCCGGTTCCAACGGATCCCATTTGCGGATTGCGGTCAGGACCTTGGGTAGCCAAGTCTTGTACATCATGCTTTCGTACGCAGTCGTTGCTTTGTGATGGGTCCTGTACACACCGTCGGCATCAACCGCCGACGACTCCCATTTGCTGACCGAGCGTCTCTCGTTGGGTGTCGTCAATAGCAAAGGCCCAAGACCTTCAAGGTCGGTCGCGAATCTGGCTGGTTCTTCCAGCGGGTCCCAGTTCGAGTCTCGGATAAAGGGGTTGACCACGGCAACCACGATATCAGCCATTTCCGGTGTTGCAGACCCTAAATGTACCGCCTTGTGCAAGCAGCCGACAACTTGCTCCCATTCAGAGGCCGAGGTCACCTCTTGTGAAACAAGGTCGGAGAAGACCTGCAACCTTTCAAAGTCGGAACGCAGATCATCTACTTCCCTTTCTCGCTCGGACAGCTCAAGAGCTACCCATTTTTTGCGTTCCTCTAAGCTTCTCCATTCCTCAGAAAAAGCGGCCAAGTCATTCTGGGCGCGCTTGACGAGCTTTCTGGCTTCAATGATTTCAGTTGACTCAGGAACACCAGAAGTCGGCGTCATGATGCCGCTGGTGGACGTAAGCATCTTGCCTCCTGGCCCAGTCATATCCAATATAGGGGTGAATGCATCAGGGATGTTGAGGCCGGGAGCTGAGGCCCTCAGCTCTTCAGCCGTGAGGTATTTGGGCTTTTGGCGCTTGGGCGTGCTTGTCGCGCTGTCAAAGGCCCCGGCCAGCGATTTCGTCTTCTTTGCCCTTCTCTTGCGCTTCCTTTCCTCCTCGTCCGAGTCAACTACGACTTCTCCACGCAGACGCGCTTGTCGTTTTTCCTCTTGGCGCTCGGCCTCGCCCTTCTCTTTGACAGCGCCCAGGCCGACACCTTGGGGCCGGAGGTTAGCCTCGATGATGACATTACGGCCTTCGCCTTCCTTTCCAAGACCTTGACCTTCGACATAACCCATCTTCGCTAGCATCTTTGCACCAAATCCCAATCCTTTGCTTTTCCCCTTCGCTCCAAAGGAGCTGACCTGAGCTTTATTCCGGGGCGGAGTTGCGTTTCTCGCTGCGGACGGCTTAAGGACTGGTTCTCGCGCGGACGACGGAACGAAGGCTTGGAATGTCGGTCGCGGCGCATCTGCTTCGGGGGTACTGTTCTTCGAGAAATCTCCGTTTTCCCCCTTTTTAAACCCATTCAGACCACCGCGGAAACGCATTCCCAGCCCTGCGCCGGACTCGTCGTCCTCTTCTTGGTCGTCCTCGTTGTCGGTCTCCCTGCCGAGTCCCAACATGGGCGTATCGTCATCTTCTTCAATCTCGGGGTCCTTTGCCGTCGACACAAAGCTTACCCCCTTCCCCCGAAGACTCCTGCTCTTCCACTTCCTTCCTGGGCCATCGTCTTCGCTGTCGGACCCAAAGACGCCAAGCGCAGCTCGCTCCTTGTTATTTCCCTGCAACTTCCGTCGTTTGCGCGGGTTGAAGTCGCCAAAGTCGCCATCATCCACGTTCGCGTTGGGCGCTAGGTAGTCGTCTTCGGACTCGGAGGCAGACGAAGAGAAGTCGGCAGCGGTGTTCTTGTTGAGCTGGGGAGGCGCGAAAGCCTTGCGCGAGGAGCCTTCCATTGTGGTGGTGTTGTGACGGGACTTATTATTGAATGTCGTGAAATGATTGACGTAGCTTCATCTTGCTTTTCTAGGTCCGCGCCAGTGTATTCGGCACATCTAGTAGCAAGCGACTATCCAAACGATTGATGCGCAAAGACAAGGTCAGCTTCAAGCAGGGCTGGAGCTAATATGATGATGCAGTTTCGACGACGTTTCTTTATCAGCACGTGATACGAGAGGTGATCTACCTACCCGGTGCTTGGGCAAAACTCACGACGGATCTTGCACAAAGATGGCAACAGTCAACAAGGATATTTCAAACGATAACTTAGTATTTGACAATTTAATAATCAGAGGCGTATGGGAAAGTTTGGATCAGATTCAAAACCGACGTGCTGGGGTCCTGCTGTTTTACACCCTGTTTCAACAACCCCTTCCATGTCGATCAAGTGAAAGCTATCTTGACAAAGAGGCTGGGGACGGCTTTCAATGACATTAACTACCGATCCTTGAGAAGCACAGCCTTGCAAAAAATTTCATTGTTCACTGGCAGTCTGGCACTGACGTTTCTGGGGCGATGAGGGCGACTAGGGAGTAGTGTCCAGGGTCCTTTTTACTGCCACCTTGACAGGTGAGTACCTGACCTGGGCCGTGTCAGAAACACGAACAAGGCGGACGCAGTCAGCGGCCCGGGAACCAGTACATAAGGGGTATCGAGGCGCTGGAAAGCATCGCCTGCACTTCGCATAATAATTCTGTAATTTTCTGGCAGGTGAGTAGTGTACCAAGAGGTACGTAGTCTTTTCGCATGCCCCGCATCGCGGCTGATGGGTTACTCAGGGATGGTTCAGTTTGTTTGGGTGATTGGTACCTAACCGCCTCCACGAATCAGATGGAGGCACCACTGGCGGACGATGGGGTTTGTTGACATTTCGACAACCCTCCTCCCAAGCCTTCACCCACGACAATTACTATATGGAAGCGCGTCCCTTTGCAACACTTGTCTCTTTGCCGCCTTTGTCGAGCCTTCATAGCCGCGTGCGTTCTAGAGAAACACAAACAAGTAAGTACCTGCTGTGGCTGTTTTTGCTTCTTGTGCTCGTCCGCTGGGCGCCATTCAGGCTACCAGTATCCTTGGGCGCAACGCACCCATCGTTGCGACAAGGAAAGGGCGAACTAAACGATGCCGTTCGTTGTCAGCGCGAATGAGTGTGCAACTGCCTGCAGAACCGCGGTGCCTTCTTATCCGACTTGTCTTTTGCCTGCCGGGTGATTGGTATCTCCCGCTCCTGGCTCCTTGGAGTGAGGTCTGCAACGGCCGCCCTCGCGCAGGAGCTTAACATGACGGATAGGTGGCACATGAGGAGACCGCGACCTCTTCTAGATGTCATTAGAAAGGTTGCGCATCGACTAACAAGTCCGCAGAAGCGAATTCGCAGATACCTATTCCCTTCCTCGACCGAATCCCACCTCGATACTTCTCGGCGCGAACAGATTATTAGACGTCTATACAGGATGGCCGACGCAGAGGAGGACTTCAGCTCCCTGCCGCTCCCCGATCGTTTTACGCACAAAGTCTGGAAAGTCCGCAAAGCTGCCTACGAGGACGCCGCCAAACAATTCTCTGTCTCCCCCAGTGAAGACGACCCCTGCTTTCGACCGTTCATAAATGACCCGAGCTTGTGGAAAGGCGCCGTATTAGACTCCAATGTCGCGGCTCAACAAGAGGGTGTCACAGCGCTCAGCGCATTCCTCAAATATGGCGGAAGGGACTGCTGCACCCGAACACGCGGTCATGCGATCACACCTATCGTTGAGAAGTGCTTGTCGTCCACCAGAGCTGCGACAAAACAGAATGCCATCGAGGCCCTGCTTTTATACATAGAATTGGATACCTCAGGCCCAGTTATTGAAGAGATGCTACCCGGCTTGTCGAACAAAGTTCCCAAGAACGTGGCTGCTACACTCAACGCCCTCACCCAGGTCTTCCACAACTACGGCTGCAAGATCGTGGACCCGAAACCAGTCTTAAAGTGCCTACCTAAGGTGTTCGGTGCTGCTGACAAGAACATTCGTGCCGAGGCGACAAATCTTACCGTGGAGCTTTACCGATGGCTTCGCGAGGCCATGAAACCCATGTTTTGGGGCGAACTCAAGAGTACCCAGCAAACCGACTTGGAAGCGCAATTCGAGAAAATCAAAGCCGAGCCCCCGCCAAAGCAGGAAAGGCTCCTGCGCTCCCAGCAAGCAGCCCGAGAGGCTGCTCCAGCTGGCGGCGATGAAGGAGAAGAAGATGTCGATGATGGACCTGAGGAAGCCGGCGAGATGGACGCATTCGATCTGGCGGAACCGCAGGATGTGCTATCAAAGGTCCCCTCTAATTTCAGCGAGCAGCTTGCGTCGTCAAAATGGAAGGACCGTAAAGAGGCCGTCGAGGGACTGTACAAAGTCTTGGACGTACCTCGAATCAAGGACGGCGATTTCGGTGAGATCAATCGTGGGCTCGCCAAGTGTATGAAAGACGCAAACGTTGCAGTTGTCACGCAAGCTGCCCAATGCATTGAATTGCTGGCCAAGGGGTTACGCACCAATTACGCCAAATACAGAGCAACTGTCATGCAGCCTATCATGGACCGTCTAAAGGAGAAAAAGGCGACAGTCGCTGACGCACTCGGAGGAGCTCTGGACGCTGTGTTTATGGCGACAAGTTTGTCGGACTGTCTTGAGGATGTTATCGCTTACCTGGGAAACAAGAACCCTCAGGTCAAGGAGGGTACCATGAAGTTTCTCATCCGCTGTCTTCGAACCACTAGGGACGTTCCCGGGAAGCAGGAAATTACGACTATCTGCGAATCTGGCAAGAAACTCCTGGCAGAATCCAGCCCGGCACTACGTGATGGTGGTGCTGAGATCCTGGGCACCGTGATGAAGATAATCGGTGAGCGAGCCATGACGCCGTACCTCGAGGGCCTTGACGACATCCGCAAAACCAAAGTCAAGGAGTTCTTTGAAGCAGCCGAGGTGAAAGCAAAGGACAAGCCTAAGCCCAAACCACCTGCACCCAAGGCAGCTGCTCCAGTGGCTAAGAAAGTGCTGGGCGGAAAGAAACCCGTCGCTAGAAAGCCTGCGGCAACTGCACCAGCCACGGCTCCGCCAGCTGAGCCTGCGCCAGCTGCGCCGAAAGCAGCTGCTGGCAAGGTAGGCATGCCCAAGCCCTCGGGTCTTGGAGGTCTTAAAGCTCCCCAGAAGCGTGCCTTGGGCGCACCTGCGTCACCGAGGCGTGCACCAGGCGGACCGCCTGTCATGCCTGGCGAAGACGATGCCCCTCCCCCACAGCCGAAAGCTGGCCTCACTCGGGGCCTGGCAGGTCGGTCTCTTGCTAAACCTGCGTCGGCTGCTCCTCAAATGCCCCCAGACTCACCTCCACCACAAAGTGGGTTGACAGCTGTGGAGCGAGCAGAGCTGGACGAATTGCGTGCAGCAAATGAGCGGCTCACTCGACAGGTGGATGACATGAGACAGGAGAGAAGCAAGTTCATGACGGAGATCCAGGAGCTCAAAAACCAGAACGCAGGTCTCATTGAGGACCACACCCGCGACGTCCTGAGCATCAAGGCGAAGGAAACACAGCTTGTGAGGGCACGCAGCGATGCTGAAGCCACCGAGCAGGTTAACGAACGCCTTCGACGGGAGCTCGAACGCTTAAAGAGAGCCTTGAGTCGTGCCGAAGGCCTCGGTGCGCCGCCGGGTGGCTCAGGAAGCCCCAGACTCACATCACCAACCCTGGATGAGGCTGGGATCTATCGTGACTCCGGCGCAGCATCTTCGAACAGGCATCGGATGAGCTTCACCAGCACGCAGTCTGAGGAAAAAGAGAATGGCGAGCTTTTACATGCTAGAACCAAGGCCCTTAGCCCTGAGCTGAGATATGCAGGCAGTGCAGCGTCGTCCGGTCGAGGTTCTCCTGCTAGGGGGTTCAGGAGCGCTCAGTCGAACCTCGACGACCACAGCGAGTCTGGCTCAGCAATGTCCCGAGAGAGGCCTGGTTCATCGTTACCGCAGCCCTCCGGAAATGGTCAGGAGAGTTGGAAGCGCGCTGCTGAAGTGACCAGTCAGCTGAAGGCCCGAATTGAGCAGATGAAAGTAGGTGGCTATTGCCAGTGCTCTTCATTACAGTACTGACACGACACGCAGGCGAAGCAGGGCTATTCACGCCCTTGAAATGGCATTCGCAGAGAGCAGGCACTTTGGCCAAGAAATTGTGGTTGCCGCATCGACCGGGCATGGTCTGTGTACAGAGAAGGACTTGGATGGGCATGGGCAGGTTCGGTTGGTATCTGGGTGCATTACTGGGCGTTGGACGCATACCCCTTGTGCTGTTCTGTTACTTTTTGATTCGACCTGCAATTCGAGCATCTCCGCGAGAACCAGTTCGTCTTTAGAGATCCCGACCTAGTGGGCACTTGCGAGACAGACTACATCTCAATCTAAGAGACTGCCGGTTACATGCGCTGCTGCTTCGCTACTAAACACGGCTAGATCATGAGGACTCTAGGCTCTCGGCCTTATGCCCAGCCTCATGGCAGTGATCGTAGCGCCAGCTGCATATTCCATCTCTCATCGGAGTATCTAATACTTTTCGTGTGGCACCCTCATGAGCACAATCGCCGACCGCTACCGAATCATCCAGTGTGGTGCTGAGACGAGGTGCGGCCGTGTCAAAGACAGCTACATCCTTGGATCAAATGGTGTTTACACTCACGTTCCCGACATTTTCAAGAGAAGGTACTCAAAGATTTTACAACATGGAGGCCCAAGAGTACCATCGATAGATTGCAACTATATGTGTGTTGCGCCAGAACGCCTGCTAAATAATACTGAGATGGATGGCGCTCACTTGGACTCGCTGTCCTTGTCCTTCTTGTCATCCGACTTATCCTCCGAACTCTTATCATCCTCCTTGGTCGCATCTGACTTCTCGTTGTCGTTCTTGTCCGCAGTACCATCATTGTCCTTTTGCGCCTTATCCGCCTTCTTGCCGTTTCCATCTGCGGTCTTCTTCTTCTTCGCCTCCTCCTGCTTCTTACGCTCCTCCTCAGCCTTGATCTTCTTCTTCTCCTCGAGCTCTACCTTCTCCCAATTGGTCGTTGTGTCGGCGATACCTGTGCGGGTGATGTTCTCCCGCAGGTGATCACCCCCAAGACGCTCGTACTTTTCAATCTGCGACCGGCCGACCAGGGATACAAAGATAGCCAGTCCAACCATGGCTGTGAGTAGGAAACGGTACTGTCCGTACCAACGTGGCGCCCAGCCACGGGTCGATGCTCGGAGATCGGCAAAGTAAAGTCCAACAAAGGCGCCAAACTGGGCTGTCAGACCATACTCAATGGGCATGAGCAGTGTGGGCCACGCGACGACGGGCGCGATTACTCCCATTGCGTATCGAAATCGGGTTCGAGGGTATGATGGTCCCTTTTCAGCGTACTCGAGACCCTTGACAGCATTAGACTGGGCCGCTGTTCGTCCGTGAGTTGTAGATTTGCACTTACCCAGTGAATGGCACCCAAGAAAGATATGATGACGGCGCCGTAGCCCAACTGGACTGGCTCAATGTTATGCAGAAGCCACTGCGCTGTTTCGTGGTTTATCATGATGGAGTCCTTGAATGAACTGCCACTGGGAACGGTTTGCGATAGGTCCCAGCCCAGGTAAATTGTCGAGAGAGATGTTGCGAGGTAAGGGACAGTGCCCGCGAGCCCCAGGATGTGCGACTCTTTGGGGATCTTGCTCAAGCGGAAGGCGTCCTTGACGATTCCCTGGATAATGTGAGTATAGTTAATTGGGGCCAAAGTGAGAATGCTTACAAGATCATGCCTCAGCCCGTCGTTGACATTGGGGTTAGCCGAGCCACCTCCCTCTGGCAATCCATCGAACTTTGCACGCGTAGTGCTGTCCACCGAGACAGACTCAGTGTCAGGCTGTAGTTTCTGCTGCGCAACCTTGCGCTCGGCTTCGTAGTCAATTTCTCGCTTCGGTGGTGGCTGGTCCTCTTGACTGCGCTTGCCATCGTTACTAGCGAATCTAGTGGACTGCGCAAGGACCAATGGCTTCTGTTTGGCCAAACCCAGCGCCAGCGAGGGTGTCGAAGACGTGGGCTTCGCGAAAGGCGTTGGCCTGAGCTGGCGGATCAGAGGTCTCGTGGATCGAAACATGACTGGTCTACTTATCGCATAAGGGCAAGGGCAAAGTTGGTCAAGATGGAGAGAGATATGTCGCGTGAGCTCAAGTTAAGATTGGTGCAAGAGGGGGTAGTGCCAGAATCACCCAAAGTCAATTGCAAGCGGCGTAGGATATTTAAAAGCACCACAGGCTCATCGGCACGATGCATACATCATCGCAAGGTCTTGCGCTCCGGGATGCCTGGGTCGAGATGGGGCTTGTCTGGGTCGGCGCACCTTGCGCTGGCGCATCATTACCAACTTATCAAGGGCAGCATGGATGCTGGCCCTCTGGCCTCCAGTCTTCCTTCCTACCCTACCTTACCTTACCTTACATCACAGATATTTGGAGCTCACCTTGGGACATGACGTCATGTCGTGGAACATTCTGTCCGCCTGAGCTAAGGCATGCGATTGCGGAAACGGGCAGGAGACATTAGGAGGTAGCTGGTCACTTCAAGGACGAGTTTTGAGAATGAACCCCCCGAATCGAAGCTGTGATCTTCCTAATATCTGATAAATAGGGAGCCGCATGTATCTGTTGTTCTCGCGACACGTCGAGACGTCGTCGGGTTTCGTGTGGATGGAGGTGGTTGAGTGCTCCACAGGGTCCGATCCGAGCTGGATGTGGAAGGCGCCCGCCCTCGCGAAATCCACCCTGAAAACGAGCACCTGTCGGGAAAGCGTCATCAGCTGTAAACAGGTTAGAGGTGGACATCGATATCCAGCTAGTCCATGGCGCTGATTGGCCAAGAGCTACCATGATCCCGATCTGAACCAAACTCCCACACGTACCTAGTAGGTCGTGCTTCCTACGATTCATCTCCAGCGTTTTGCTGTATCCTGCATACCTAATCAGTCGACTCGACGCGCACCACGCTTCGCGCTGTCCTTCGGTCGATTCCCTTACGCTTCAGCGACACGGCGATTCCACACTCGCTCAGTGCTCTTATCGCCAAGCCTCGACCGAGCGTCGTCACCACGAAACAGAACAAAACTCAGCACCCATCCATCCCCCACCATACAGCGACTCCAGTTCACGACCGGACGGCAACTATAAAAGAGAAAGCGGTGTAATTTCCACTACACCCGGGTCGAGATCGTGAACCTCTCTCTCAATGTCGTCATCTTGAAAATCGAACATCCCAGTGTGATACCCCTTGCCTGGGTTACGGCTCGACCGATTTCGCAATGCTTGAAGGTCTCGTCGCCGGGTTGCTTAACCGCTTCCTGGGCATGTACGTCAAGAATTTCGACCCTACACAGCTCAAGGTCGGCATCTGGTCAGGAGATGTCAAGCTCCGCAATCTAAAGCTACGCCGGGAGGCTCTAGATCAGCTCAAGCTACCGGTCAATGTCATTGAAGGCCACGTTGGTGAACTGACACTGGTCATTCCGTGGTCGAACCTTGGTGGAGCGCCGGTCAAGGTCTTTGTTGAGGATGTTTTCCTCCTTGCCAGCCCAAAAGAGGAGGCGGAATACGATGAAGACGAGGAGGAACGACGCAGGCAGCGAATCAAGATGGAGAAGCTCGACAGTGCTGAGCTTTTGAAGGAAAGGAACCAAGAGGGCTTGAGCCAGGAAGAAGTAAAGAAAAACCAGAGCTTCACTCAGAGTTTGGTTACCAAAATCGTCGACAACCTCCAGGTCTCTGTAAAGAACATTCATATCCGGTACGAGGACTCAATCTCCGCACCAGGGCATCCGTTTGCACTGGGCGTAACGCTGCAGGAGTTCAGCGCTGTCAGCACGGATGGTGAATGGAAGCCGACCTTCATTCAGCATGCAGGCGATGCGACACACAAGCTTGCGACATTGGGCGCGCTGGCCGTATATTGGAATACCGACAGTGAACTCATGGGCACGGGAAGAGAAACTGCCTCGGCTGATGAAATAATGCCTTACGAAGAAATGATTGCCATGTTCAAGCGCATGATCAAGCATGAGGAGACCAATTCCAAGCACCAATTCATCCTACGGCCCGTCAGTGGCCAGGCAAAGATTGAACTCGACAAAACAGGCAACGTCAAGGTGCCCAAGTTCAAGGCAAATCTCTTGTTCGAGGAGATCGGCCTCGTCCTGGACGATGATCAGTACCGAGATGGCTTGATGATGGTTGATCTCTTCCACTACTTCCTCCGTCACCAGGAATACAAGAAGCTGCAACCCAAGGGTGTTACGCCAAAGGAAGACCCCCGGGCATGGTTGCTGTTCGCAGGTAACGCAGTCCTTGGGAAGATCCACGACCGTAACCGACGCTGGACGTGGGACTACTTCAAAGAGCGTCGCGACGACCGCAAACGTTATATGGAACTGTTCAAGAAAAAGAAGCAGCAACAGCAGCTCACCACTGAGGAGAATGACGACCTCTCAAGGCTAGAGTGGAAACTTGAATACGAAGACCTCCGCTTTTGGCGTTCGTTGGCTCGCAATGAGCTGAAGAAGGAGAATGCAGCTGCACTCAAGAAGCAGCCTCAACAACAGGAACAGCAGGGCTGGGTGTCATGGCTGTGGGGGTCGAAGCCCCAGGAGAAGATTGAGGAGAACGAGGAAAACACCCAAATGACTGAGCAGCAGCGGAAAGAGCTGTATGAAGCCATTGACTGGGACGAGAAGACGGCCCTGGCCGAGTCTGTGGACACTCCCCGAGAAGCCGTCAAACTGTGCCTTGAGGCCTCTCTCAGCACGGGAAGCTTCACCCTTCGAAAAAGCCCTCATAACAATCCAGCAGATCTACTTAGCCTTCACTTCGATGTGTTCAAAGCTAAAGCACTGCAACGCAAGGATTCCCTGCTGGCCAGTGTTAGCCTTGGCGGACTTCGTGTCAACGATGGCACCACTCCCGATACCCTTTACCCCGAGATCGTTCGTGTCAAAGGCGCACCAGATACCCGCAGGAGCAAGCGTTTATCCCTGGTTGAGCTTGACAAGCCCGACGAGGATCCCTTCTTCCAGTTTGAGTTCGAAAAGAACCCGATTGAGCGCGAGGGCGACATAGCAGTTGTCGGCAAATTGAAGCCCTTGGAGATTGTATGGAATCCCAACTTCGTGGTTGGAGTAGCAGACTTCTTCAGACCTCCAGAAAGGCACATGGAGTCAATCACAGCCTTGATGGAAAGTGCTGGGGCGACTGTCGAGGGTCTTCGCGAGCAAACTCGGGCAGGTCTTGAGTTTGCGCTCGAAGAGCACAAGACAATCAATGCCGAGCTCGATCTTCAGGCACCGCTCATTATTGTTCCGGTCAGCATCACCACCCATGACTCGACTTGTCTCATTGTTGATGCCGGTCATATCCATATCAACAGTGAACTGGTGGACCAAAGCACCCTGAGGGAGATCCAGTCAAAGCAGCGGCAATCATACAGCGATGAAGATTTCAAGAGGCTTGAATCAGCAATGTACGACCGGTTCCTAGTGAAGCTCACATCTACACAAGTACTTATCGGACCTTCAATTGAGGAGACCAAGTCGCAGCTGGTCGACAAGGACGAGGGCTCGCCGCTACACGTTGTGGACAAGATCAACGTTGACTTTGTTGTGGAGACCTCCATCTTGCCAAAAGCGCCGAATCTCACCAAGCTCAAAGTGCACGGGCACCTGCCAATTCTTCATGCCGCAGTCTCGGACTCGAAGTACAAGAACCTGATGAAGATCATTGAGGTGGCCGTGCCAAAGTTTGGTAATGAGCTGTCGAAACCTGTCAAACACGAGAATCAAGATGACCGCGCGCAACTGTCCAAAAAACGTCCTTCTACAAGTGTTTCAAACAGGTCCCGAAGAAAGTCTGGCCGCCCGCGTGCTATGTCGGAGGCTTTCCCATTCCTGCAGCCCCATACTGCAGTCGTTCTGAACGACATGGATGATGATGATGACAACGACGACTTCGAAGATGCCAGTGATGGTGCCGATGAAGAGCATCTCAAAGTGCAGCAACGAAACTTTGAATTCAAGTTTACTGTCGACACCCTAAAAGGATCACTATACAAGAGCGATCCTGATCGTCGCAAGCCTGATAGTCTACTATTGGAGCTCATCGCGGAACGTTTTGACCTGGAGTTCTACATCCGCCCTTATGACATGGTGGCCGAGGTTTCCCTTGGCGCCGTGACTATGGACGATTTCGTGGACAATCCCTCAGCTGAATTCAAGTCAATCGTGTCCACGGGTGACAGCGAGGACCAGAAGGCGGGAAGAAGCCTTGTGCATGTCAAATTTGTCAAGGTCAACCCACAGTCTCCTGAATTCATGCCCGTGTATGAAGGTGTGGAAACCAACATCACGGCCGCGGTGTCCACTATCAACCTTATTGTCACCCGTAAGACATTGTTGACTCTTCTGGATTTCATTCTCGTCACCTTCACCGGCGGGAACAACGATCAGTCCAGTGAACCAAAGGCTATAGCTGCTTCTGGGGACAAGGACGATGATGATGCTGAAAGCGAGGAGACTATTCTCGAGGCTGAGACACCGAAGAACAACAACGCAGGGTCGATTCGTGTCAAGGTAGATCTGAAGAGTATCCGGATGATTCTCAACAATGATGGGATACGACTGGCCACGCTCTCACTGAATCAGGCTGACACTGGTATCTTCATCCGTGGTAAAACCATGAGGATATCGTCCAAGCTCGGAGACCTCTCTTTGGTTGACGATGTAAATCAAGGTGTCTCTGCAGACTCGAATCTTCGCAAACTAGTTACCATCCAAGGAGATGAACTGGCCGACTTCCGCTACGAGACTTTCGACTCCGACAACCCTAACGGGTATCCAGGCTACGACAGCTCTATTTACCTCAGAGCCGGTTCTGTCAAGATCAATTTCGTGGAGGAGCCCTTCCGCAAAATTCTCGAGTTCTTGGTCAAGTTTGGAAAGATGCAAGCGCTGTACAACGCGGCTCGTCAAGCCGCTGCGAATCAGGCAAATCAGATTCAACAAAGCCCCAGTCGCTTCAAATTCGACGTGGTCGTGAAGACTCCAATTTTAGTTTTCCCACGTTTCGTTATGCCCGGGCAGCCGAAAAGAGACTTGGTCACGGCGTACTTGGGTGAAATATACGCGCAGAACAAATTCGCCCCCATTGACGACAGCGAAGACTCGGACATCGCTATGAAGATCTCGGCCGGCATCCGCAACACTCGACTGACCTCAGATTTCCACTATTCAGATGACCGCTCGGAGGAATTGGAGATGATTGATTCTGTTGACTTGGGTTTCAACATCACGCA